TAAAGACTTTTTGGGGAATAGAGGTATGGAGATGAGAATTAGGGTAAACTTCACAAAATTTTTGAAGAGAGGTAGCAAATTGTAAAATTTTTGAGGGCATACGATTTATTAAATAAGCAGAAGTAAGCACAGCATTCACCCAAAATTTGTTGGGCACGTGTTTCAAACATAATAGCTCTAGCGACTTCAAGTAAATGTCTATTTTTTCTTTCAGACACACCATTCTGTTGGGGTGAGTGAACACAAGTAGTCTAATGGTGTATGCCTTGTTCTTCCAAGAACAATTTAAAAGATGAATTTAAATATTCCTTTCCATTGTCACTGCGAAGAACTTTAATTGAAGTCTGAAATTGATTTTTAATAAAAGCGTGGAATTTTTTAAAAAGAGAAAACACCTCGGATTTTGTTGCATTAGAAAAACCCAAGTTAGCTGAGTATGATCATCAATAAAAGTTACAAACCATGTGGCTTTGGAGTTAGTTTCAAATTTTGATGGACCCCAAACATCACTATGTATTAATGCAAAGGGTTGAGTCGGTGTGTGAGGATGAGAAGTATAGGAGTTGCGAACTTGTTTGGCAAGGTGGCATGTATCACAATGAAAGTTTGAAATAGCATTATTATTGATATTTGGAAACAAAAACTGCACATACTGAGGACTAGGATGGCCTAACCTAGAGTGCCACAATATAAAATCTTTATTTGTCATAGGAGAATGAATAGCATGAGAATGTGGTGTTGATGAACCTTGAAGATAGTAGAGCCCATTCCACATTTTAGCCTTCCCAATCATCTTTCCTAAGATCAAGTCCTGAAAACCACAGCCATGCTTATAAAAAATAACAAGACAATTTAATTGAGTTGCCACTTGCTTTACAGATAACAAATTGCACTGAATTTTTGGAACATATAAAACCTTTTTTAAAATTATGTTTTTTGATATAATCACAGCCTCTTACTTTTGCATATTGTCCATTTGCTACTTCAATAATCTCATGTTTAGAAAATGCAGAAAAATCAGAAAAAATTTCTCTGTGACCTGAGATGCAGTCAGTTACTCTTGAGTCTACTATCCAAATATCTTTGGGTTTAGCTATACCACTAAGAGCACGAGTTAGAGTTGTACCTGAATGAGCCAGTGTAACAAAGGGAATTTTCTTCTCACAGATTTTTGCAGAAGCCGAGGCATGCTTGTCTAGTATCTTACGTAAGACTTGGAGTTCTTAAGAACTTAGGGTGCCTCCTTTAGATTCTGTGGTACCCACCATTAGACCCTTTCGGTCATTTTTATTTTTTTGCTTTGTATTTGGGGCTTGCCATGCAGTTTCCAGCAAGTGTCCTTGGTGTGTCCACCTTTATTGCAGTGATCACACCATTTGTCAAGCCTTTTCTCCTTCATATCTCCCTGGTTCCAGCGAGCAACTAATGTAGATCGTTCATGAAGAGTAGAAGGGTTGCTCAAAGTTAATAGCTTTCTGCTCTATTCACATCGAACCAAGTTAAATGCTTCTTCTAATGAAGGAAAGGGCCTCATACTTGTGATGCGGCCTCGTACATCTTCAAATGAGTCCTTGAGGCCAAGCAAGAAATCATAACACCTTTCACAATGTATCACTACCCTGTGATATATAGTATCCTTATGACAGGACCACTCATAAATTTCATAGAGGTCAATTTGTTGCCAGAGTTTCATTAGTGCACTATAATATAAAGTAACTGTTTGTTCTCCTTGAACTAATTTTTGTAGCAAGCACTTTACCTGGATAACAACAGCTATGTTTTCTATAACCGAGTAGGTCTTCTTTGTTGAATCATAGATTTCTTTGGCTGTAGTTGCCAGCAGATAGTTTTCGCTCATGTCTATTGTCATAGAATTTACAAGCCATGCCATCACCATATTATTTTTAGCGCTCCAGGTCTCAAACTCGGCACTTTCAAACTGGGGGGTGCAGGTGTATCAGTCAAATACTTTTCTTTATTCTTTCCGTGAACAATCATAAGAACATTCCGGGACCATTGGAGATAGTTGTTCCCATTGAAACGATGAGTGATCATCGCATGTGGATGAGAATCTGACAATATACCTAGCATCCCAAGAAGCGATGATGAATTCGCTCCATGGTCTCCTCCACTTGACTCGGAACCAGTCTCTTTTGAGCTCCCTCTAGTCGACAATGCACTAGTGGTTCCAACATTGACAGTGAAAGCTCTTGGCTGATTCATTAGGGCTACTCTGAAAGACATTGAGTCGATGACCACAGCTCTGATACCATGTAATATTATGAGAGAAAGCAGCTCTGATTTTATTCATGAGATAGCGATTACATATATAGAGGACTAGAAGAGATGTAATCAGATCTAATCCCCTAAAATCCTCCTAGAATCATGGGATACATAAACTGAAATAATAAGTGATAAATGCAGATATGATCCTAGGAAATAAGCACTATATTCTTAAATAGGAAAACTAGGTTAACACATAACGACAGGCCCACTACCAACATTTGCAGTAGACAGATCTCTCCCCCTTTTTCCCTTACATGCTTTCCTTTCACAAGATGCCTTTTGGCGTTGCTCTAACAGTTTGTCATAACATTTTCAACTGACCTTTTGTAGGATAAATTGAGAGTATATCTTGCACCTGTTTTGAATGGTAACAGATACACATCCTATGGTCGCCATTTCATAAAAGTGGAAAAACTTCAATGGGTATGTACTTATGCTTCTACTCAACTTAATCTCATCAGTTTTGCAACTTCACAATTTCATGTACCTTAAATGTTCTCTTTTACTTATTGTGACTGTGATGTCATATTTTATTCTTTTCTTGTTTACACACTCTTCTTTGTGAGTGGTGTTAGGTCGGGTTGGGCAAAACATACAGAATTACATGTATGACTGCTATTTCCATTGAGTATTGTTTATTTCAACGTGTAACCCATTAAGGTGTATTGTAAATTTTATGTGAAATAGGTATTTTGATTTGTATAGTTAATGTTGAGCAGAAAAGTGATCATATTGCTCCGTATGATTGAACTGTGGAGAGGAAAGAATAGAGATAATACTTGCACAGTGTGTAGGTATCGCAAAGAGAGAAGAATCTAGGGTAATCTAACTTAAATCCATGCAACATAAAATAAAGATAAACGCTGAAATGATATAACACTAGTTAAAGGAATAATAATCATAGATAAATGGGACAACTGTTCATAAATTAGACTGCAGAACATATTGTCAAAAATTAAAGAGAAATTTAAGGTTTCAAAAACCCTGATCAAGAGATGCTTTTCTTATATCTATAGATAAAGCTTGTTTGGCTCACGGTGGTTTGATGCGAGATTTCGGTGGTGTGCCTACATAAGGAAACAGAGACAGTAAATACTAGGCTAGCAGACCCTTTAACTGGAGCATATAAACCATGCAGTTCCGATCTTGTTTCCGGTGTATGTGATTTGTGCTTCTTGTATTAATTTTATAGTGATTTGTTGTGATTATTCATTTAGTTGTTGGTAAATGTTAGATGCCTGAAGCTTTTGGCTTTCACGATGCAGTTACTAGCAAGACAATGCCTTGATTTATTTTAAGGAAGAAAAACTAAGGAACATTGATAGGATCCTTGCTATAAATACTAGACAGCACAGAGCGTGCATGATAACACTGCATTGATGATGGGTGACTGAACAAAACATGAACGGTGCGTATATTATTCACAGGAGAAAAAAACATATAGTGGAACGTTAGCAACATTCATGCTATTCAATCCCCATGATTTAGCTGAGAAACAAATGGGAAAATTATGTTAATGTGGATTGAGATTATCTGGGATTGTACAATGAAGGATAATTACATGAGTAATTAAAGACAAGATAAAATGGAAATATTTGGAGAATATTATTACTGATATTCTACCAATACTTTCCTTGAACCTGGGGAATTGATGTTATTCATTCCCACCGTGCTTTTTAACTCTCCAAATCTGATCCTTGTTAAGAGACTTAGCAAGTTTGCTACTAGGTAGCTTGTAGATGCATGAGAGATCTATTAAGTCTAATTGAATCTTCTCCTAAAGAGCGATCTATCTCTACGTGCTTAGTTTGGTAATGGCATTTAGGGGTTGTTGGTGAGCCTTATGGTGGCTGCATTGTCAAACCACGCTCTCATTTGGGATTCAACTTCAACATTAAAATTTAGGGGTTGAGGATGAGCATGGAGGAAGCTCCTCCACAGATCAAAGTTGTGTTAGATAAATATAAGGTGGTAGATCTGATGTGGGATGGGAGGGAAGAAGAAGGATGGTGTCTAATTTAGGAAAATCAGCTAAGCATTTAGTGATTTCGCTTTAAACTTCATCAATGGAAATCAACTAGTACACGTAGAACAAATTAGGGTAAATCTAAACCTGGAATCCGAGAAGATAAAGTCTGATATTATCTAATCTAATTAAATCTAATCCCTAGATAATTGAAACAAGAAATTAACAATAATAAAGGGGGACAAATAGTAAATAACCAGCCCCAAACTAGATGGGCTTGGGCCTTCGTCCTTGAGCACTTCCCCTGAAGCTTGGAATATATGTTCATCATTCCCAACTTGCTTGTGTATCCTTCAAACTTGTCATGACAATGCTTTGGTTAGAACATCTGTAACCTGCTGAATAGATAGTGTATAAGCCATATCAATGTGCTTGTCTTCTATTTTCTCTTTGATGAAATGATGATTAATCTCTACAGGTTTCATCCTGATTCAGGATTCCTTACAATTTTAATAGTTGTTGTGTTACAGCACCAAACTTCTCTTAGGCTTTCACGATTGATTCTCAACTCCTCTGATATGTAAATATGTCATATGGGTTGACTTGTGATGATAATCACGGAATGATTGGACGTGCCTCTTGATACCATGTTTGATTTACGAAAAGTCAGCTAAGCATTTAGTGACTTAGCTTCAAACTTCATTAATGGAAATCAATTAGTACATATAGAACCCAATTGGGGGAAATCAGAAAGGGTGAAGATGCAATTTTAACTCTGATCTTACTTCTTAGGTGCAATTTCACAGTGATCTTTTTAGTCGTGCAATTTTAAACTTGGTCTAATTTTTCAGGTGCAATTCTATTTGTACCTTTATCACTGATCTTTGGGTGCAATTCTACCCCATAGAGTTAAAATTGCAGCAAAAAAAAATCAGGGGTAAAATTACACATGAGAAATAAGATCAGGATTAGAATTGCACCTTTACCCTGATTATCTAATCTAATTAAATCTAATACCTTAATATTTTAAATAGGAAATTAGCAATAATAAAGGAAAACAAATATTAAACAAGGAAGCCCAAACTAGCTGGCTTGGGCGTCCATCCTTGAATAGATAGTGTAAGATGAATGGGCTTGGGTCCTCGTTTTGTAACCAAGAAAAAAAATTTTCTTGGAAGTTTGCTAACAGTCACTGTACCCACTTTTCTTTGCAAATATCCAATGACAGGGCCCTATATTCAGCCTGGAGGTATAATTGGGTGGTGGATCTCCTATTTTTCTCAGATTAGCCAATCTACATCAGTGAAAACTTTGATGATTCCTAATGTGCCCCTCTTTGAAACATAAACCCTTTCCAACTATCATCTCTAGGTATTTCTTGCGTGCTGACTCTAAATTTTGCTCCTGAACTGACTAACAAAACTAAGAGGAAAACTTAAAATCAAGACCAGTTTGAGAAAGATATACAAGGTTTCCTAGTAGTCTTTGGTACCTCTTTGTAATCAATAAAATAACTTCTTCCCCTGAAATCTGACATTTAAGTCAATTGCGTAGATGTTTCAGCTGGCTTAACCCCAAGTATACCTGTTTCATTCAACAAATAAAGAGTGTACTTTTGGATACTGAGATTCCGTCTTTAGTTCTTGCGACATCCATACTAGGAAAGTATCTCAAATTCCTAAGCTCTTTTACCTCATATTCAGTGGCCGGAGAGCTTTTTAACTTCTGAATATTCTCTTTATCATCATCTGTAATGGCAATGACATACAAGTGGAGCATAAGAATAGATGTTTTAATGTTAGGTGTGTGGGGGGTCCTGTGGAATGGCTACCAAAAGTCACTACATTCTAGTAATTTTGTAGGATAGATTGAACCTAGATTGTCTCACAAGGAGCATGATTTTCTTGACAATGATTAAGGTTCAGAGTGAATTCTAAATGACTCAACCAGGATCTATAAACTATTGTGAGACTCCTACGTAAAATCTAATTATAACACATCATTGGGCCACGGCTTACATAGTGTAGCCCAATGATGAAAGGAAGCGCAGCTCATGTGCATGAGGGGTGTTTATGGTATTTCTTACTTGGAAGTTAGAGTATACAACCCAACGAGGGTGGTTGTTTGGGTTCTGGCGAAAGTCTGATGGGCAAAACTGGGAGAGTTTTTGTACCTCTCAAATGCATGGGGTAGTGTGTTTGTTTTGTTTTTCTTAGCTTGTAGACCTCCATTAGACGTATACTCTATGGAAGGATTATGTGATTGAATAATGTTTGCCAAGTTTGTTCAATCAAAGGTATCGGAGCATTTCTTTCATAGGAATGGTCAACACAAGAATGGAGAACAGATTGTAGGGACTTGAATATTGTATGCTGCGAACTGAGCAGGATGCTGACCGCTTGACCAGTGATATTGTGTCAGTCAAATGCGATATGGCCACGCTGGAATCTTTAATGGCTGAAGCCAAATCCCATAAAACATGGCCATTGGAGTCAAAGTTAGAAACACTTATGTTCCTTTATAAGCTTGCTTATTGGCTACAAATTGCAATCTAATCCAGGAAAAAACTTAACATTGTTTATACTTAATTTATCACTGATTACAACATTGCCAATTCTTTGAACTTTGATCTTTCACCATTTGGAACTTAAATAGTTTTACGAATAGAACAAGGCTGAAGTTACTCATAAGTATGTCATTATTAGTCATGTGATCTGCTCCAAACTCTGCAATCCAAAGTTCATGATTCAAGCTTTTAATAGCCCCTATTTTGTTTCATGTACCATCTTTATGCATTTTAAAATTTATAATTACTTCTATTAAAATTTTATAATTCATAATTACATCTATTAAATACTGCTCAGAGCTTTATTTTTGTGTGTGCAGATTGTTGATAGGCTCCATTGGTATGTCCAAGGTGGTGATACGGTAAGCATGTATTACTGTGCTTATTTGGCCTTTTTTTCATTTGCATTATTTTTGTCTAGAGTCATAACCTGATTTTACTTGAGGCTTTGTGGATTTCTCCTTTTCCGAAATAGTTTTAGATACCTAAAATTGTTTGTGGTTCTTACTTTAACCTGACATTAGAATGCTGTATCTACATTTTGAGTTGTAGTAGGAAATTTCTGTCATTCAGTTGCTTTCTTTTGGTTTGGGACCTTTTTTCGTTTTTTTTTTTCCCTTTTGGTGCTAGGGGATTGGTTTTTTTTTTTTTTTTGGGGGGGGGGGGGGGGGGGAGTGGCCGCTACTGGCATTTAACTATCCTCTGCTTCTTTGACAGTTGACATGATCTTTGGAGATAGATTTTTACTATTGTAAATCTTGGGACATTATTTAAGAACTTAGTTCTATTATTTTATTTTATTTTATACATTTATATGGTTTATGACCATTTCTTTTCATATAACTTTTATATGTACTATGAATAGTAACAAATATAGATCTTCTTTTCAAAAAATCCATAATGGTGTTTTTATATAGCAATTGTCCTTTACTTGCTTCTTTTATCCAAATAAATTTATTCTTTTCCTTCCTTTTATGCTAAAAATGCATATGCACATTAACTAGTATTATTTAATGTTGAATATCTCATTAATATTTATTGATGTTCAGATTGTGGACTTCAGCTGTGGGGCTAATGATTTTAGCATCCTAATGAAGAAAAAGCTCGAAGAGACAGGGAAGAAATGCTTTTACAAAAACTACGATATTTTTCCAACGAAGGTGCATATACTTTTTGAGAGTTTGTTATGGCATGGTTCTTATAGCTTGGTATAATCTCAATGCCATTCAATGAAATCGGCTAAATAATGACTCTCTAAGTACGTTACTTTTATTGATTAAAATAGCACATGTGCCCCTTTAGCTTTAAATAAATAGATCTAAACCTATTTAATTTGTCTCTAAAAAGAATAAGATAAATAAAACTGATCAAATTAAGGAAAAAAGGATAACAAGCAAATTCTGCCAATTAAATAGGATAAAAGCAACTGATAGAACCCACTGTTGAAATATACTATTAAGAGATGAAAAATCTAGCCCGAGTGTAGCCTAAGCTCAAACAACTACCAAATTTCTTGAAAATAGAATAACAAAGGAAAAAACTCACACACACTTAGCGATTATTGTGGGATAATGGGTGAGTTGGGGGTGAGAGAAATATTAGGAATAAATATTTATTTGAATTATTTAAATGTTTTCTATTTTATTTAGGTTACTTCTCTGATTAGTTGAGTATTCCTCAATTGTGGGAGTAGTAGTTTAATGATACTTACATATTAAGTCAATAATTTGATTTGCTTATTATCTAGATAGGTATTCCCCACTATCTGAGTTGTGGATTATGGGAGTATTTTTAGGAGTCATTGTAAATGTTAAGGTTCACCTCATGTAGAAATCATTCGGAAATTCATTCGATATCAGTATTTATAATTGATGATTCTCCTTAGGCTTTATTAGTTAAATGAGTTAAGTGGAATCTTTTATTAAAGACTTGACATCATCTTTAGAAATGGCGTGGACCCTCTTCCCCACTTTCACTTGCCTAATCCAAGACCTAATTAGACTCCCTCTTTCTGCACATTGTTGCCGTCAGCTTCTTGTGCCTTTAAATTGTCTTGCAGTTGCTTATCATACCTGTAGTGCTTAGCCCGAGTCCTTGCAACATCATATTCAAGCTTCATCTTTTTAGCCGTTTCTGCTACAAAACCATCCTCAGGTTTTATCTCCTCTTGGGTGCTGGTTGAAAACTTCTTCAAGCTGATTCATTCCCTGCTTCTTCCTCAGTTGTTGCTTTCATTGAGCTTTGGGAATGTTACAAGCTGCAACTCAGGGTTACACTCTTCATTCTTTTCTTCCTCTCCAACCTCCTAGAATTTTTGTTCTTCGGTCTCACCCTTCAATATTAGCTTTACCTTGACTTCCTCTAAGTTGGTATCAACAGTGTCTCCTTTTTCTTCTATCTCTTCTTTTGTTTCCTTCCCTAATTCAGCATCCTCCTCTTCTTTCGCATCCTTTTCTACTACATTTTGGCCTCGATTTGTGCCCTTGCTTCAGCTTTTACTGCTTTTATTTTTCTTCTTTCATTCCGATCTTTCCAATCTTCTATAATGTTTATCATGTTCTCTACATATTTAATACATTTCAACATGTTCTTCTAGAGGGATTCCCGTCTCCTCCTTGAGATTTATTTGCCCTCATACCAAATTGATAGAACCCACTGCTCAAATATGCTATTGAGAGATGAAGAATCTAGCCTGTGTAAGTCTAAGCATGAACAACTACAAATTTCTGGAAACTAGAAGAGCAGGGCAAAAAAACTCACATATGGTCACTGGTTCCCCAGCACTCAAGAGGCTAGAGACTCTCCCTCACAGTACTCATTGTTTTCCTAAAAACCCCCACTAAACCTCTTTGCACAAATATGTACACATCACACAGCCACCCCCCCCCCCCCCCAAAAAAAAAAAAAAAAAAACCAAAAAAAAAGGGAAAAAACACACTCCTTACTGAGGCCTGGCCTATTAGTTACAAGTCCATCAGCAACATATTAAAACCCTAGAGAAAGTGGGCTTACTTCTTATAGACCTTGGTCTTGTCACTTTCAACACTTCCTCTCAAGCTGATGTGTAAATATTGCCAATAAGTACTTTGAACTCCTTGCTAGGAAGACTCCTTGTGAGTAGGTCGGCTACTTAGCTTTAGAAGGTATATATAATACTTCAACTACCCCTGCCTCAACCTTTTCATTGATAAAGTGGCGATCAATCTCCACATGCTTTGTCTAATCTCAATACCTAAAATCGTCCAAGCCCTGGCTCACTTGGGTTAGTGTGCTGCAATGGAAGAAATGATGGCCCTTGACCATGCTAGTTCTATTTACTTGTAGGGAAGAAGGCCATTGGGTTTAAGTGGGTGCTTTTCATCAATACAAAAGCTAATGCTACTCTTGATTGTCTCAAGGCTCGCTTGTTGTTAAAGGATATGTTCAAACCCATGGATCTAATTACTTAAACTTCTCTTCCATGGTAAAGCTCTTCTCTGTTCGCCTCTACATTTCTAAGGTGGCTACTTATGGCAAGGACCTCCACCAATTGGATATCAAAAATGTTTTTTTAACATGGTAAGAATTGGTGCACTGAAAGCTGTAGCTTATTCTACTGATTTGATCAATAGATATGGGGGAGAGGAGTGATTCATAGTATGGCATGAAATCCTCTGGAGTAGATGAGAAAATAAAGCAGGAAAGAAAAATATTCCATAATCCCTATATTAATGCCTAAGAATCAGAACAAATAGCTGTTAAATTGATCCTAGATCAAGGGCTGAATAGGCCTCGCTTTAGAGCCCATTTCTGACACATGGTGATCTTCATGAAGAAGTCTACATGGAGCAATTGCTAGGCTTTGTTGCTTTGCAGATATGGCGCAAAGTATGTTTCCAAAGAATGTATGGCTTAAAGCAAAACCCTTGTGTGTTGTTTTTTAGAAATTTGGCATCAATAAAAGTGTGACCATTTTCTATTACATCAAAGAGTGTACATGTTGTACATGTTAACGACATTGTAATCATGGGTAGTAATACCTTTAGAATTTTACTATTCAAATACTTTCTACACTCATATCACTCACAGATGTTGTCATGTTGCATAGGGAAAAATAACAGGTGGGGGTAGAATTAACGAGGCTTTGAAACCATGTAGAATTTGGGTCTATTCATATGCAGTGAATGATACATCTAGCATTGAAGGCTGAACAATCTTATTCACTTAATGAAAAAGGTGCGAGTACTATTGAATAAATAGAGCAAAGAAGATCTCTCAAGGATGAGAGATATGAGCCGAGGTTCTAGGAAGATACTAGTCTAAGAGTCAGGAGAATAAAATCAGAATTCAAAATACATAAACAGATATTATTTGATTGGCCGCAACATAACCTAGATTTGGTCTAGGGTTTAGTCGGCCCATAGGCCCAATTAAGTTATTAGGGTTTTGCACTAACAAGAATAGACATACATACATGGAAGACAGAGAGTTAAATGCTAATGAAGCCTAATGAAAGCTAAATAGTTACAAGTAACTGTCTTATATTCCCACACAAAGCAGATCAAGAATGATTGTATTTTAGTTTGGGATAAGATTGAAGAGAACCTTATTTCTATAGGTCATGTGAGTACTAGAGACCAATTGGATCATCTTTTTACAAAAGCTTTTTGATGGGGTTAAATTTGACTATTTTTATTACAAGTTGGGGATGATTAACATCTACATTTCAACTTGAGGGGTGGTCTAAAGATATTAGAATATTCTCTCATTGTTGTAGATAATATAGTTTGTACAAACCATCTAGCGTCTCTTTGTAACTCTATATGGTGAAAATAACTGGGATATTTATGTTATTTACATAACAAGGGTTGGCATTTCCATCCATGATGAATGGAAGAGGAAAATGCTCTTAGAAAAGAAAAAGGATTCTCTAGTGTTTGAGACTCTAGAAGTCCTCCTATGCCGAATGATTTTTGGCCAGGCTCCTCACAAACCCCCAGCACATATAATTGCTTTCCTAATGGAATTCTCTCATTTTTGTGTACCTTTTGACAAGGTAGTATAGAGCCGGATAGATCATTCTTTCGGTTGGTTCCTCATCCTCTCATCTTATTCTTTTTGTTGAGATATATTAATGATATCAATAATATCCTAACTCTCTTTCAACATAGCTGAATTCTATTAGTTATAATGTTAGTTAAATTTAGTTAAAATCAATAAATGTGTAAGACATATTTTTGAGAATCCTTATTACGATCTCCATCTCTCATTATAAGAAACAACTACCAAAATAATACTATTTAAAATATGAGTTAAATTTAGTTAGATATATACATATTTTTTTTTCTAGCTATACCCTTGTTTATAAAGAGAGTACATGAGGGATAATGAATAAAAATTTATTGCAGAAAGATAACAAGTGACATATATTTAATGGGAATAAAAGTGGAAAAAATAGTTTAAAATTTTAGAGAAGGGTTAGGGACACAGCTATGAGAAATTATTTCCAAAAAAAAAAAAAACGGAGAGAGTCAACTTTCTGTGGAAGTGTTTGGGCTTGGAGTAATTAGGTGCAATATCTACCCCATAGGAAAATATTTATATGTCCTTGGTTGCTTGGAATAGAGTAATGTTGGAAATTGTTATCCTTTAAGTGGCAATGCTTCACATTTCAAGGAATTTACCCTTTCCTTTTTAACATGCAAAATGATTCAAGTTCATGTGAACCTTCAGCGTTTAATTAGGTGGATGCATGAGTTAGATATCACAGCTCAACTTCATTTGTGTGTGTACTATGATTACCTCCTCTTAAAAAGGTGATCACGTCTCTTTTGATCTATATTTATGGTGAATGATGGGGAAAAAGGATTGCTTTATTCATCGATTGGAGTCATGCATACATAGGCAAGTCCTAGGTTTCTAGAGGTACTAGGATCTTCCCTTGATTACACAATAATAGAGAATCAAAATCCAATCTTCAGAATTTTAAAATTTAAAATCACACAAGATCTATCGCTAACTTAGGCCTCACTAAAGTAGTAAACAACTTAACCCTAACTTAGGCCTCACTCAAGCTGGCAAATATATGTCTATCATTCCCAGCTTGCTTCTGAACTCTTCGAATTGAGGTCTTGCTAGTGCCTTGGTGAACATGTCTCCCACTTGACGATGTATCGGAACGTGAGTTATCATAATGATGCTTGCATCCTCTTTTTCCTTGATGAAGTGTTTGTCAATATTCACATGTTTTGTCCTTTCATGATGAATGGGATTTCTAACAATCCCAATTGCAGACATACTGTCACATCTTAATCTAATAGGTGTACTAGGAGCCAGTTTTAGTTCCTTTAGTACACTTATTATCCATAGGCCTTCAAAAACACCTTTAGCTAGAGCTCTTAGTTCAACCTTTGCATTACTCTTGGATACTATTGTTTGTTTCTTGCTTCTCCATGTTGCAAGATTTCCTCATACAATAGTACAGTATCCAGATGTGGACCTTCTGTCTGGTAGGAACCCTTGAAGATTTGCATCGGTGTAAATCATTTCTCACTCTGTTCCTTTGGCAAATTACAATCCTCTGTCGGGAGTCATTTTTAGGTAGTGCAGGATTCTATTAACAGTATTCATATGTTCTTCTAGTGTTTTATTTTTGTAAACCTGCTTACAACACCCACTGCATAGCTTATATCTGGGTGAGTATGGGAGAGATAGAGTAATTTATCAACTAGCCTTTTGTACCTTTCAGCATCAACAGGTATAGGCTCTTTCTTTGGTTTAGAGTTCTTCCTCCTTTTGGTAGCTTTTGGGTCTTCTATTTCTTCTTTATTATCCAGTTTGATTGTCGATTCCATTGGGGTTTCTGCTGGTTTTGCTCCCAGCATTCTAGTTTCCCTCAAAAGATCAAGGGTATACTTTCCTTGAGAGACAATTATTCCTTTTTTAGACCTTGCAACCTCCATACCAAGAAAATATTGAAGTCCTTCCAAATCCTTTGCTACGAATTCTTTTTCTAGGGATTTCTTTAACTGTGACATCTCCTTGATGTCGTTACCTGTTATTATGATGTTATCGGCATATACAATAAGAATGGCTATCTTTCTACATGAATGTTTTACAAATAGAGTGTGATCTGCTTGGCACTGAGTAAAACCCACATTCTTCACTGTCTTGGTGAATCAATTAAACCAAGCTCTTGGAGATTGCTTTAGTCCACAGAGTGATTTATGAAGTCTACATGCTAATCCTGGAGTTTTATGTTTTGTCAACCCCTGTGATATCTCCTTGATGTGTTACCTGTTATAATGCTTGCATCCTCTTCATGGAGGAATGTGTTCTTTACATCAAGCTGGTGTAGTGGCCAATCTAGATTAGTTGCTAATGACAGGGGTATTTGAATAGTGTTTAACTTTGCCACTGGGGCAACATGCCATAGGTCTGTGAGTACCCCTTAGCTACTAGCCTTGCCTTGTACTTGTTTATAGTACCATTGGGATTATATTTCCTGGTGAAAATCCATTTGCATCCTATTGTCTTCTTGCCAGAAGGGAGTTTAGTGATATTCCATGTTTGATTTTTCTGCAATGCTTTCAACTCTTAACTGATAGCTCCTTTCCAGTTCACATCTTGAATAGCTTCTTGAAAGTTACTTGGGAGCTTCTCATTGTCCAACTGAGTAACAAAACTATTCATGGAGGGAGATAACCGGTCATAAGAAACGAAATGACTAATAGGATGCAAGATACAACTTGTTAGCCCTTCCCTCAATGCAATTGGCCATCCAAGATCACCAGAACCTGGAGCAGAGGTTGAATCTTGGCGTTGCTCATTGCTAGAGGGTCTTTCTTGTGGGATTTGCTGTGTTTCGCTTGCAACTTCCTCTGAGTTTTCCTCGATTTTGGAAGCTTTGTTTGTATTGCTCAGATTGGTTTCATTTTCATATGAATCTGCACCACTTGGTTCTGTTTCAGGGCTGTCAAAATTATTCAGATTTGAGGTTTGGTCTGGGTATGGCTCGGGGGATTTCTAGGAGCAGCGTGGTGTCCTATTTGGGTATTTTTAGGTTCAGGTTGGTAAAAAAACTCCCATTCTTCTGCTCTCCCCCCCTAAATGGGTGTTTTGGAGTAGAAACTCTAGTTTTGTTGAAAGGTTATGTCCATGGTCACAAAGAATTTTGAAAGTATGGGTGAGTAGCATCTATACTCTTTTTTGGGAGGTGAGTATCCTAGGAAAATATACTTAATTGCCTGTGGGTCTAGCTTCCCTGCGTTGTCACTGTGGACAAAAGCTACACAACCAAATATGTTTTCAGGTAGTCGATATGGCATATGGTTTGTAGGGTAGGTTTTAGATAGAAGCTGAATAGGAGTTTGGTAGTCAAGGGTTTTGGACGGCAGTCGATTTATTACGTAAGCTATTGTAAGAATGGCTTCTCCCCAGTAGGTTTTTGGGACATTGTGTTTAAGCATAATGGCTCTTGTTATTTCAAGAAGGTGCCTATTTTTCCTTTCAGCTGTTCCATTTTGTTGAGCTGTGTTGTCACAACTGGTTTGATGGATTATACCTTGTTTCAGGTAGGTTTGGAGTGTAGAACTCATGTATTATGTTCCATTGTTAATGCGAAGGACTTTGAGGCATGGAATTGATTTTGGATCATTTTGTGAAAGTTAATAAAGGTGTTGGTTAAATCAAATTTATCTTTCAAAAGAGAGACATGGGTAACTCGTGTCTGATTGTTACTTAGTGTAACGAACTATTTTACATGTGAAATGTTAGGGATATGGGCAGGCCCCCAAATGTCACTATGTATCAATGAGAAAGTGAAATGTTAGGGATATGGGCAGGCCCCCAAATGTCACTATGTATCAATGAGAAAGGTTGAGAATATATATGTGGGTGAGACTGATAAGTGTCTTTGGCATGTTTTGATAATTGACAAAACTCACAGCGAATCAAAAACAAATTTTTATTCAAAAGATTTGGAAATAATTTGGACATGTATTTGAAGTTTGGGTGGCCTAACCTATAGCATCATAACAAGATTTCCTTATTTGGAACTTGAGGAGAAAAAACTTGAGGAGTAGTGAGACTCATCGAGCTCATTGACTGAATTGCTTGATGCTCCATGCAATAAAGATCTTTTAGTAGCTCAGCTATGCCAATCATCTTTCCCGATCCCAAGTCCTAAAAGAAGCATCGGCAGTGAAGTAAACATGGTATTCATGAGATTGAGTGGCCTTGCTAACAGACACAAGACTGCACTTTAAATCTGGTGCATATAACACTACTTAGAATAATTTTTCCAAATAAGCATGCTTCACCAATCCCCTGAACTCTAAGGTATTTGCCATCTGGCACTTTAATAAACATTGGAAAAGGGTATGATTTCAAATTTCTTATCAAATTTATGTTCCTAGTCATATGGTCAGTGGCTCTTGAATTAAGTGGCTCTTGAATTAACTATCGACATGTTCCTATGATGTACACTAGTTTTAAGTGCTAGAATTATGTCACCTGTGTATGCAATATTACCAGAGGCTATTTGTTGTTCAGGAGTAGTGTGCTTATCTAGAATTTTTTGAAGTATCTCAAGTTCTTCTCTCGGAAGCTTTGGCTCCCTCTCAGTTGTAGAGTCTGTAGCAAGAGCTTTTGCATTTGGTCTACCCTTTTCATGTTTGCCGGTTTTCTTGGAGTTTCCAACAAACATCTTTTGTGTGACTCGATTTCTAGTAATGTTTGCACCATCGACCACTCTTCTTATTTTTATTGTCAAGACCTTGAGTGCCTTTAGCTGAAAAGGCGTTATTTTCAGTTTCTCTTCAAACTAAGGAAGAGAATTGGACAATTTCGTCCTGCTTTCTTCATGTTTGATCATAAAGAACACCTCTCAGTGATGGAAGAGACTCAAGGCTGATGATTCGGCCCTTAGCTTCATCATGTGGGGTTTGGAGCCCCAGGAGGAACTTATAGATCCTCCACTCTTCCTTTATCTTATCATACAGTTTGGCATTTACAGGACAGGATCCATTCATGTGTATCATAGAGGTCCAACTGTTGCCACGAGACATTTAGATTAGTCCAATATTCAGTCACATTCAAGGTACCTTGTTTAAGGTTGTCTAGTCACTCCTCAATTTCTGGGATGGCTGCATAATTCTTGATTGAAGCAAACATGTCTCGAGCTGCGTCCCACACATCTTTGGTGGATTTAAGCAGCGAAAAACTTACATTGATCTCAGGTGTCATTGAGTTCACGAGCTAGGATTGAATCATGGAATCCTTGGCTTCCCATTTGGTGTAAGCAGGGTCAGTGCTTGACGGCCTCTTCACTACTACATTGAGATGCCTGAATTTGCCTTTGCCAATAACATACGAACGGACTCTAGTGGCCCATTGTAGATAGTTTTGACTGTTCAATCTATGGATGGTAATCGGTGAAGGGGTCGCATCAATCTGTGGCACTTGGTGAGTCGCCATCGTGTCATTGCTCTAATACCATATAGTGAATGATGTGGAAAAAGGATTGCTTTATTCATCAATTGGAGTCATACATATATAGGCAAGTCTTAGGTTTCTAGAGGTACTAGGATCTTCCCTTGATTACACAATAATAGAGAATCAAAATCTAATTTGCAGAATTTTAAAATTTTATGTCACACAGAATTTGCCACTAACTTAGCTCTCACTAAAGCCGTAAACAACTTAACCCTAATTTAAAACCTAATTCGGCCCCTCACTAAAGCAGTAAACAACTTAACCCTAACTTAAAACCTGATTCGGCCCAGGCCTATAATAACAATAGTGCTATTTTTGAAGGCCAAAAGATTGTTGATATCACAAAGCGAAATCCATTTATCGCTTGGTGAACAAATGTGAAAGTTGCTTAGTAGTTTGAAATCTATAAAGCTTTAGATAGTTTGTGGGGATGATGTTTGGTGGAAAAAAATGCTAGAGCTCGTGTGAAATTTCTCACTGTTCCCCCAAGTCTTGTGTGGTGAACGTTGACGTATTCTAGAATTTGTCTTTGGATCTTGCGTGTGATTCTTGAGTTCTTGATCATGTTTTTCACAGAATGATTTTCATTTCGAAATGAGGGACTGGATGCAAGTCAAAATGAAGGAGCTGCCTAAGGGTTCAAAATTGGTGAGAATTCTTGCATCACATGGTTCAATGTGTAAACTTCACAAGGGTCATTACAAGTTTTTTTTTTTTTTCCCCCTTCTTTAATAATATTTTTCCATTTATGGTTGAACAGATTATGGGCCTTAACCCCCCCTTTGGTGTTAATGGAAAAGATGCTAACATGTTTATTGATAAGGCTCTTCGGTTTCAACCAAAACTCCTCATTCTTACTGTTCCCCCAGAAACAGAAAGGTGTTTGTCTTCCAACCCAACTTTTCTTCCCCTTTCTCAATAAACATGCTGAGGCAAATAATGTTTGCTTCCATACTGAATGAAACAAGCCTTTTGTTCGTCACATTCTTCCCTTTTTTGCAGGTTAGATAATAAACGAACTCCTTATGACCTTGTTTGGGAGGATGGGAACCTTCTGTCAGGAAAGGTAAAGTAATAATTTCTTTTAGTGATTCTTATGGTGAATTTTAGTTAAGTTTTTATGAATAAATGTTCTTTCTTGAGCAACAGAAGTCTGATTCCCTTTTCTGTTCTTTCCCTTTAGGCATTTTATCTGCCGGGATCACTTGACGTTAATGAGAGACAAATGGATCAATGGAACGTGACGCCACCTGTTCTGTATCTTTGGAGCCGTAAAGATTGGACTAATAAACACAAGGCGATAGCCCAGGAGCATGGTCATTTGCCCAGCCAACGTGATGCATTGATAGAAATGAGACTTGATGAAATTTCACCTGCTGATGGTATTATGAATGGTAATCATTATGAGAATCTCGTACTAGGTCATGACCTTCCAAAACAGGATGATGATTCTAAAGGTGGTTGGGCTTCAAGGAATGATGGTCATGAAGAAAACTTACCCCATGATAATCTTGCCTATGGGAATCATGTTGTACAAGAACCTAACATAAGCAATTCCGACAAGAGCATAAGCAATTCTGAGAAGACTTTACGGAAGAAGGGAATCGAAGAAAATGCTAGTAGAGCATGTGATGTGGCTTCACCAACCGACAGACAGGCAGTAAATGATACTTATGACGAAATGATGCAACACAGTCAAGAAAGAGTGTTCAATGACAAATTAGCAGTGTCTCCACACGACGTCAATAACAATGCTAATGAGAATAATGAGTCCACCTCTCGTTCACACATGCCATATGGAAGAGCTAGTCATGGGACTGAAAATAAAAAGCAACTAAGTTGTGCTCATTCACGTTTTGAATATAAAGCTAGGAATTTTGAGGAACATCATAATAGCCCTATGGTACGTAGCCCTAGGATTTTCGGAGATAGACTCCACTTCAGGGATGAACAACATCGGAGGGAAAGAGAAATTAGACAACAAATTCATTTGCATGGCATTCAAGATCTGGATTATATGAGAACTAGGTATCAATCTGGTGATGATCTTTCTTTTGGCCCTATTAGAACTAGCTATGTTCAACTTGGTTCAGATCCTAGGTCATCTTACCAAAATACATCTGCTATGCAACGATATGCACCTCGCTTGGATGAATTAAACCAGGTCAGGACAAGGACTTTGGGGTTAGAACCACCAATAACTGGCAGAAATGGCAACTTTGATCATCGTTTGCTGCCACAGCAGGGATATGGAGACTTGCCGCCACAACCAGGACATGGAGGCCTGTCGCCACAGTCGGGATATGGAGGCCCGCGACAACCGAGACATGGAGGTCCCATGCCACAACATGGATTTGTAGGCCTGCCGCCACAACTTGAATATAGAGGCTCTTTGATGGGTTTTTCAAATCCTCAAAATGCATATTCTCACCATCACTCAGCTGGGTGGCTCAATGAGTAGTTACGCCTTGCACAATTTCTTAGGTTTCTGAGTTAAACTTTTGCATACTCAATATGTAAATGAGGTATGCTTGTTTGTTGACACTGTTGATGGTTCCTTTATTATCTTCATAGAGTAATTTTAGGCTCTTTTTTTTTTTTTTTAATCATCGTGATCTGACATGATGTCTTTATTTGTCATTATTTCAAATGCAATGACTACAAGATGCATGAGAATCATTAATAGCTGGATGTTGTTGGGGTAGGCAATGGGCAGAACAGGTTGACTCGAGGGTCAACTCCTATCTTGTTTGTTTAATTTTAATCAGGTGTTGATTCATTAAGAACTTGTTTAAACCCATATTAAACAAGTTTTGTGCTAACCCAGGTGAGTTTAAATGAATTACAAGTAACCTGTTTTTGCTTATAGCCGCAAGAAAAAGAGATCTAAGATGCAAAATTAGATTAATAGAAGCAAGTAGAGGCGTGGAGGCCGCAAGAGGTTATCCTTAACTCACAATTAACCCATGTAAAGAAATGAAGGTGAAGGAGCAGCGAGTGTGACTATTGAGGTGAAAGTAGTGGGCAAATCTAATGGTTGAAAAGTTACTTGCAAATATCAAGAATAGAGAACGAGACAGTGAGATTAGATAGATACTCACGGTAACAATGTTGTAAAAGTGATTGCAAATGTCATCTTCAAAGTTCAAGTCACAACCCCACTCTGGCGGCTTCATGCTCTTGCATCTCACTCTTCACCAATCTATTTTGACAAAAAAATTTAATTAAAAATAAAAATGATAAAATTTGAGGAAAACTAAAGGTCTTTTACAATTTGTTATATATACATATAAATATGTAGAAATTTAAAAACGCACAATTTTAAACAATTCAAAGGAAATTCTTATAATTTATTTTTAGTTTATAATAAATTTCTTTCATCTTTCTTAATTTCTTTTAGTATTTACTCTTATACATGCAAAGGCTAATGGCTTACAGTCTAACTACTAGAGCATATGTTTCTTTGTAATCAATACCTTCTTTTTGATTATAGCCTTTAGCCACTAATTTGGTTTTGTTTTTGATGATTTGTACAAATTCATTAGGCTTATTCTTGAATATCCATTTAGTGCTTATGACTGGATGGTTATTAGGTCAGGGTACTAAGTCCCAAACTTGATTCTTCTCAAATTGGTTCAGCTTTGCCTACATTGTTGTTATCCAGAATTCATTAGACAGAGCTTTGTCAATATTGGTTGGTTCAATGTTAAATATAAATACAGAGAAACGCACTTCATTGAACACTTGTCTCCTGGTTTTAACCCCTTCATTGACTTCACCAACGACTTGTTCCAGAGGATGATTTTGGTTATGTCTCCAAGCTTTAGGTTGATCTACATTATCTTGAGAAAATGTTTCATTTGAATAATCTTTATTCTCAATATTTTCGTCAGAAGGTATTTTGTTTGAAGACTTGTTTAGATTCAGTTTTTCAAAACTTTGAACGATCTCAGCGTTATCATTTAGAGGTCTTGAAATCAACTCAGTTTCAGCAAACACAACATGAATTGATTCTTCAATAGTAAAAGTTCTTTTGTTAAAAACTCTATAGGCTTTACTGTGATTAGAATAACCTAGAAATAGATCTTCATCAGCTTTAAGATTGAATTTATTGAGATTTTCTTTGTTGTTGTTATGAATGTAGCATTTGCTTTTGAAGATCCTTACCGAGTAGCGTTCTGATGTAAGCTTTATTGGAGATATAACAAGCCGTGCTCATAACTTCTACCCAGAACACTTGAGAGATTCCTTTTTCATTCAGCATTGCTCTGGCCATCTCTGTGAGCATTTATTTTTCTTTTCACAACTCCATTCTATTGAGGAGTTCTTAGTGCTGAGAAGTTATGGTCAATTCCATGCTTGTCACAATAATCTGTAAATTCATTATTCTCGAATTCTCCTCCATGATTAGTTTTGATAGACACAATAGAAATACCTTTCTCATTTTGAACCTTTTTAGCAAAAACAATGAATACACTAAATGTTTCATCTTTGGAGGAAACAAATAGAGTCCAGGTAAATTTTGAATAGTCATCAATTATTACAAAAGTATATAAGTTTCTATCAAAACTCTTAACTCTCGATAGACTAACCAATTCCATCTGAAGCATTTGGAGTGACTTTTTAGTTAAGACTGTCTTCTTTGATTTAAATGAGGACTTTGTTTATTTACCCTTCTGATAAGCATCACAAACAATATCATGTTCAAATTGAATTTTGGGTAAACCAATAACTAAATCCCTTATTGTTGATTTTGAAAGTTGATTCATATTAACATGAGCAAGACATTTATGCCAAAGCCAACTTTCCTCATTTTTGCTAGCAAAATAGTTTTCAGAAAGCTTAGAATCAATTTGAATAGTATAGCAGTTACCGTCCCTTAGAGCCCTTAGCTTTACATTTAATTCTTCCTTCTTGAGTGGCAAGTCATCTTTGCTGATGATTAAGCATTCTTCTGAGTTGAAGATCACCTAATTGATCTTGTCGGTACTTTGACTAACACTAAGTAGGTTGTGACATGGGCATTCAATGTAATAGATGTCTTCAACTTTCATTCCTTTGTTACTTCCTATTTCTCTGATTCTAGTAATTCTCCCAGATTGTTTTCCACCAAAGCTTACTTTGCCTCCTTCTTTAGGTTTGAGTGATAAGAACTTCTCAGTATCACCCGTCATGTGTTTGGAGCATCTGCTATTAATGTACTATTTGTTTGTTCTGGATGCTTTGAGAGATACCTACAATAGAAGAATCACATTTTAGGTACCCATACCTTCTTGGGTCCTTTCCTGGTTAGTTTGGTTTGTTCAAGGTACGTAAGTCCCTTTGGGTACCCATCTTAATGTCCTATAGGTTTCTTTCTTCTTGTGATAACAAGAAGAGGTTGTATGACATTTATGGTTGTAGTATGAACATAATGCAAAAGGATTAGAAGATTGAATAGAATTTCTAAAGAATGTCAAATATGACCATTTTCCAATTTTCTTCTTTCCTTTTCTCCTATCCTGAGTAGGATCATATCCTATTTTAGACTTGTCTATTGTGCACTGTTGAGTTCCCAGATTTACTTTGAGCATTTCACTGCCCTTAGTGAACTTCTCCAGAGTTTTGGTGAGCTCCTCGGTTTTCCTTCTGTTTTGCTCATATTCTGTGCAGATTAGAGGCGTAGTGTCTTTCTGTTTCACTTGTTGTTCCTCTAGAATCTTTATCTTCTCTTTGGAGCTTACCAACTCCTAAGCTATTCTTACTAGCTCAGAATGTAATGCATTATATTCATATTGCAATTCATCATAAGAGGGTTTAGAAATGATATCTTCATTTGTCTCTAAGTCTCTGTCTTCTTGTGCTACGAGACAAATGTTAGCTATTTCTTTATCATCACTATTTTCTTCCTCCAATGAGCTATCTCCCCATATAGATGTCACGAATGCCTTCTTCTTTTAAATTTCTCTTTCTTTTTGTCTTTGTCCTTTATTTTAGATAGTTAAGGACAATATGCCTTAATGTGTCCCGGCTTCTTGCATTCAAAGCAAACTATAGGATCCTTGGATTCTGTTTGAGATGTGGAGGCTTTATGCTTTGATTGGAATCTTCTTTCAACTTTGTTTCTATAAACTTTTTTAATATTTTGACTATGAGACCCATTTCTTCATCTTCTAGATCCTCATCATCATCATCTTCACTCTTTTGAGTCTTGAGAGCGATACCCTTATGATTCTTCTCGTTTATCTCTTTCTTGTACTTCTGCTTGCTTTCATGCTCTACCAAGCTTCTGAATAGTGTAGCAACAGAGCCAATTAATTCTCCTTTCATTTCTTCGATGCCTGTCATCTTTAGTTCCCATTTTTTGGTGAGTCTGCCAAGAATCTTCCTTACTTGATCTTCCTAACTGTATTTCTTCCCAAGGGCAGTCAAGTGGTTGATAAGATGTGAGAACCTCACTCCATGTCCTGGATGCTTTCTCCGTCTTTCATTATGAAAAGCTCAAATTCCATGGTGAGATTACTGATTCTGCTTTATTTTACTTTGGTTGTACCTTTATGAGCAATCTCCAAAGCCTCCCATATTTCTTTAGCTGTCTCTAGGCTTAAGACTCGAAAGTACTCTCTCTGGCTTAATACATAGGTCAACATGTTGATAGCTTTGTCGTTCAACAGCACGAGCCTCTTATCTTCCTCATTGAACTCTCTTGGACTCTTCAGTACTTGTTGATTATTGATGGTCTTCTTCAGAATGTAATTTCTGTGTCCTATTACATTCCATAGACCTTATTTTGTTGCCTTAATGAATATCTTCATCCTTATTTTCCAGAAGGTGAAGTTTTCACTGTTGAAGCCCAGTGGTTTTGATGTTGAACATCCTTTGGGTAGCACACTATCTCCGAAACCTACTATAGGATCTCTCTTCAAATGGTTTGTCTTAAATGATACCAAATATTTATAGTACCTTCACCCAAGAGCGGGTGAATTGGGTGAGGTATAAAAATTTAACTAAATAAAATAATTAGCCAAATAAAACATAGGAGATAAGTTAAGAATGTTTCACGGAAGAATAAAGACACAGAGTTTATACTGGTTTGGTCTCAACCACTTGATCTACGTTAAGTTCTCAAAACACCTTTAAGATTTCCATTATATCTCTAAGATTAAACGAGCTCTTGGTTCCTCAGTACAATAATTGAATCTCTTAATCATTCCGCCTTACTACCCGTAAGGTTGCAATCCCTTCAAGAGTCCACACTCTTGAGTTACTCTTAGAAAATGAGTAATGAAATGTATATTAAACTCTCTCACAGAGTATATGAATGATAAACACTAAAGTTTGGTAAAACAGAGTATTGAATGCAACAGTAGAATTTTAGCAGATGGTAGCTCGTTATTCCATACTTCATTCAATGCTCTTTGTGCCTTTTATAGTTGGAGTATTTCAATTATCTATAAGACTAAAGAGCTTCTAGCCGTTGGAAGATTGGTCGTATGTGTTCGGCAATTACAATGGTAGTTACCATTATTGCTTTTGACACAATAAGTTAAATGCTATAAAATAACCATTGCGCTTCATGTTAAATGCTATAAAATATCCATAATATGATAGAACTTCGGAAAGAACTATTTGAGAAATGAACTACTGTAATAATCGAACAAATGATCAAAAAATATTTGATCGATCATATTATCGATTAAGCTAAATCTGAGTGAAAAAACCATTTTCAA